GACAGCTTCGAGTCGCCGCTCGACCCTGGCGGCGTGGCGGGGTCACGTGGAGCTGGCCAACCTGCTGATCGAGCGCGGAGCCAACCTGGAGGAGGTGAACGACGAGGGCTACACCCCGCTGATGGAGGCGGCGCGCGAGGGGCACGAGGAGATGGTCGCTCTGCTGCTCAGCCAAGGTTAGACATTAGCAGGGTTCCCAGAACCAACGCCTCAATGGACCTATACCATTATTACGTCACAGTTTGTTTACCTGTTCTAAAGAACATTCTAGAACGGTCAGTTAAAGAATAAAGATCATTTCAAAGTTTTCAAAGTAAGGTATGTCTGATTTTTGCTGCGTCTAGTTGTGTTGACACAGCATTACATGCCACATGGGTGATTTAGTTGTGACATTAGACGAAAGTAGTACTGTATTAAAAGCCTTATATTAGGCTAACGCTACACAAACACACATCGCGCTACGCACCCCTGTACAATATAAACGTCGATTGACCGGCATTCATTGCGGTAAAAAAACTGTGACGTAATAATGGTATAGGTCCATTGATTATATTCATTTGTTGATTTTATACTTTTTATTGATGTATTAATTGTACATGTATCACTTTATTGCCTCAGACTGACCTGGCACCCCTCCCAGGTGCAGCTCCCCGCTGATGCTGATGTCATCAAAGCCCCTCTGTGTAACCTGGTTGGACGGCAGCTGGTCCAGCTGGATGGAGAGAACCAGCACCTCAACACGGGGCACCAGGTTGGCTGAGAACACCACTGTGTGGGACTCTCCATCGCAGATCTCATACCCTGTCTCTACGTGAGTGGTGCGGATGGTGGTGGTGACGTTATTCTTACGCAAATGGCCACGGATCTGGTAAAAGAAAATAATTATAAAACACAAGAGTTCCACAACCTCATACCTTCAACAAATCTTCATGACTGACAGATTATAGATTATTCCCCCTGATTATGCAAATAGGATCCTCATTTCCATGATTATATCAATTGATCATATTCTCCACCAAAAGTCTTATCTTAACAAAGAATGCCATTCTAGCATTTCCTCATAAATTATGCAAATGAGGTCCTTATTTGAATAAGTTATGTTTAATGATGTTCACCTTCACTTAAGGTTCCGGGTCGGAGTTTAAATCTGACCAGAGTGTAAGTAAGTGCGCAGTAAATCGCCAGAAACGTGACTTTGTTTCGTATGTTTTGGCTGCAATATCCCTGATATTGTAATATCCATGTACTACATATTTTCTGAAAAGCCTGTTAGTTGTAGCCTTTATAGGTGGCGTAATGTTGGTGGTCCAGCAGACTTCCTGGTATAAGTCCGCGTGGATGGTTATGTGGCCTTTTCGCCTGACCGCCGGGATGGTGAGTTCTATATGCGTTGTGGGTGTGTTCGGGGAATCGAAGATAGGGGTAAACGTATCGCATCGATTTTAATTAAATTCGAATTTCGGGAAGCACAAATTCAGTTTTTGGAATGTGTTATATTGCAAAATTGTGTGCAAATTGCACATGTCAAAAATAAAAAACTTGGTAAAAACTATGCAGCAGGACTAAATGCTATTCTGTGCAAGTGAAAATGCAGCTGACTGACCCTGCCATCCTCTGCATCAATCAGGAAGTAGTTGCCAGGATCCTGGTACAGTAGGAGGAGGAGAAATGAGCGCTGGACTGTACTAAACGTCACACTCACATCCAGCCCTGACTCCAAGCTGCGGATGCCTACAAGGGAAAGAAAATAATTTTGTCAAAAAATCTATCTGTATCAAAGTTCATGAACATGTTTTCCCCAGTTCTGACCCTGCAGACATGTGACATCAGTGTACATGCAGTATAGGTCAAAAGTGATGGACATTAAGGATATACTATGTACACCAGAGCCCAGGAAACTTCCTCTCACGTTTGACCCAACACTGAGGTCACAAATCAGTAAGGTCACAGAAACTTGTGGGCCAGTTTTAAGGCCACATCAATTAATCCATTTGGTTCTCGTATTTGCCTCATCATGTTTTGCTGATTTATGAAAAAACATATTTGGGGTTCTGAATCGACTCCAAAATGCTCATATTTTGACGGTTGAAGAAAGTTCTTGTCTTCCTAGTTGTTACAGCTTTTCCATCTATCAAAAGTCTTACAGTGGTTTCATAAAAAGTTCAAGATTATTTAAATTATAACACAGTCTAGGTATGTTGACTTCATGGCTCCTATCATGATAACATTTTGGGCTGTCATGGGGTGGCTTTACCTTTTCCCCCTGTTGCTTCATATGTTTTTTCTGAAAAAAAATCCTAGAACTCAAATTGGTGTCAGGCCTAATTGAGGATTTCAAAAATAAAGTCTGTGAGTTGACATCAACTGGTGTTGGGCAGAGTTTAGAACTTAAATCATATAGTAATTATACAGCCATGTTTATGATTTGAGCACCTACAAAATGTTGCAGAGAGACAAACCATCCGACTCACCCATGGTTGCAAATCCAGTGCCATTAAAGGCAGTTCCAGGGCGGACAGCCTCATAACACTGGCTGATGCCATGCTGGCTATCCGGACTCCCAAGGTCAAAGGTGACAGTGTCCGCTGGCCGTGCAGTGCTGATCTCCAGTAGTCTGATGCACCCACCAAAACCTGTTTTTATCTAAGAGTAAAACTATTGTAATTACAAAAAATTGAACAAAATAAAAAACGCAGTGAGAACATTTTTGAAACAACAAATTATAATTGATAGACATACAAAGATCAGAGAAACTACAAAACATCACAATCATCAGAGGGCTTAAAAATTGGTTTAGAACTAGAAAGGCCAATATTTGCTTTGGAGCAAATATAGCGATGGGTTCACCACATTTTACCACATGGCAGGGAAAGAATGAGAAACACAAGGGAAAACAATGCTTTACATTGATATAACTATAGTATGAAGTAACATACAACTAAGACTACAACAGTTGGATAGCTATTCCCTACATTATTGGTTAGGATTGCATAATGCAAACTGTTGATTTTCAAGATAAAAAGAAGCGTTCATAGCCCGCATTCCAATGCTGGAGCAGGAAAGCTTAAAATACCTACCAAAACACTTGAATACAGACATACTGTCAGTATGGCATGGCTCTGTGCAGGTGTAAATGAAGTTAAGCCAGTTAAATCCCAACAGCCAATCAGCAAGGAGAATAGAGGAAAGCTGCATGCCTATTGGTTGATGCCTTGCATGCCATTGTGATGACTCATGTCCAAATGTGGTAAACACTGCACACTTACACAGTAATACATTAGCTATTACACAGCCAAAAAACTCAAATAAAACCATTCTAAAAGCCTGTATCACAATAATTTAAAAAACGCCTAGGGGTATTTGCCCACTGTACCTCCATAC